GCTGAAACAAAAGTTTGCAAAGTTCATGAGATCCTATCTTAGTCAAGAGGTTTCGCAACAATTTCTGGTTGGCGGGCTATTGTTAGATTACGTCGGATTTATAGATTGGATTGCAGCTCTGAATTGTTTTAATTGTGATAAAAACCTGACATTAAACATTAGTGCACCCATGCTTGACATTTGTAGATGCTTTTGTTCACAGCACCAGTTAAGAAGCTTGAACGGAAAATATTTAAATCAAATAATTAGTAAATAATTAATAATACATAATTAAATCTAGATAATGAATTTTATAACCATTTCAGGTCAGAATGTACCATGTGCAGTTCCTAAAGTTCAGAAATCCTTTAAGGTAAGACATACATTTTAAGGGAAAAAATTTCTGTATTGAATAGATAGATATAGTACAATACAGTATGTTACATGATGGGTACATTTTTACTAATTATTGTAAAAATGTTTCTCTCTATTCCTTCATTTTAGTTCGCCCCTGTGCAACGTCAGCCTTCTGTTCAACAAGTGAAACAAACACTATGCTTTTCTCAAGGTGAGTGTTTGTATATATGTGAGTGTGTGTGTGTGTGTGTGTGTGTGTGGATTCATTTCATACTGCTCCATCAAAGCCTAGCAGACATACAGACAGTGGGAGGAACGTCTTATAACCTACTCATAAATAAAATAACCATCAGAAAAGATGATAGACTTTGCCATGATTACTATTTACAGTATTAATTAAGATGCTAATTTCTTGCCTGTCGATGTTGTGTCCCTGTTTCAGGTACTGAAAGCTTCAAATTTTGAAACTCTAGAAAAAGACCATGTGCAAGTCTTTAATGTTATTCATAGGTAGACAAATATATATATAAAGTGTTTGTATGTTTTATTTATTTATTATATATATATATATATAATAAATAAATAAAACATACAAACACTTTATATATATATTTGTCTACCTATGAATAACATTAAAGACTTGCACATGGTCTTTTTCTAGAGTTTCAAAATTTGAAGCTTTCAGTACCTGAAACAGGGACACAACATCGACAGGCAAGAAATTAGCATCTTAATTAATACTGTAAATAGTAATCATGGCAAAGTCTATCATCTTTTCTGATGGTTATTTTATTTATGAGTAGGTTATAAGACGTTCCTCCCACTGTCTGTATGTCTGCTAGGCTTTGATGGAGCAGTATGAAATGAATCCTGAGCAGAGGGGTCTGTGTGTGATTATTGACTGTGTTGGCTTGGCTGGAGGTAAGTGTGTCATAATGTATCAAAATGAAAGTGTCATATAGAGTGTGTATTAAGAGTTAAATAACAAACATGGTCTGTTTTGACCTTGGTTTTTTGGGGGAAAATTTATTTGCAACCACAATGATGTCATAATTTTTGAGAGAAAAAAAACCTTCATGATTACATTTTTAAAAACTCCCATTGTCCACCCCTGACTTTCTAAAGAAAGTCATAATTTTCATCATAGCATTTAGTTTTTTTCCTTTAATTACAAATTGGGATAAAGTATGGTTAATAGAGAACACAATTTGTAGCTCTTTAATGTGCTACAATAAAACATCTGCATCTAAACATCTATGTTGTGTCCTTTCAGGGATGATGAATCGGACATTCGAGTGTCTGGGTTTCAAGGTCATTTTTCACTCTCTCTTGGGTCTAAAAGAAACCCAGAAGGTCTTGGAAGACCTGACCCGCAACAGGATCCTTCAGGGGGTCAATCGCTTTGTCTGCTGCATCATCAGCAGGGGAACGGACACTCATCTGTTGGCTACGGACTCTAGCAGCCTTGGCATCAGGCTGGAGGATCTCAGGCAGCTTTTCAGCCCAACCCAGTGTCCCTCTCTTTGTGGTAAACCCAAACTCTTCTTTACCCAGATCTACAGGACCACAGAAGTCCCAAATACCCCCTCAATGGATGATGAATACCTTGAGACAGATGCGCCAGCATGCCACTATTCTAGGAGGCTATGTGCGAATGCAAGGACTATCCCAGTGTCAGCAGATGTCCTTTGGAGTGTGTGCAGAGCAGAGGCAAAGCTGCTGGAAGGCTCTGGCCACCAGTCGGTTTACCTGCATGCATTAAATTCTGCCTTTCTGAAGGGATGTCAGAGGTATGGGCACGGTTTATGATAGAAAGTGCTTAATTTAATAGTGGTCAATGCAAATATTTTAAATCATGCAATTTTATGAACAATACATTTTCTTGCAGTAGTACTTTATTCACATAGAAAATGCTGAACATTGACTTTACAACACTTTAAAGATCTTATTTTTTAGCATTTAGGTATTCATTGACATTAACTAACAGTGAGCAATATGTTTTTACAACGTTTAGTAATATTATTGTTTGTTAATAAAATACAGTTGTTCATTGTTCGTTAGTTCACAGTGCATTAACTAATGCTAAATGCATATACAGATAAAATGCATGCATTTTAGTAAATGGTGAAATTTAATTACGATTAATAAATGCTATAGATGTATTGTTCATTCTTTGTGCATGTTAAAGGTGCTATATACGATTTTTCAACCACTAGATGTCGCACAGGAGCACCAGATCTCCACACCCCCCCTCGTGCGGAATATATAACGAAATTGAGATCATTTTGGCTTTTATTTATTATTGCTTGTGACCTGACATTTAACGCTTAAGTAGCTGTAAAAAGTGTATATGCTAAATCGTTTTCAGCTTTTGCAGTTGAGTTCTCAGAAAATAAAAGTCTGTAATTTAAAATATCCATATTTATGTATGTTTGTTTGTTTTAATTTGCAGAAAGATGCTTTTATTGGACATCATGGCAGAGGTGAACAGAAACGTGTTTAGTCACAATCAACAAAATCCTGAGAATGAGTACCACCTTCAACTCTCTCACACACTACGCAAGAAACTTTACTTGTAACACTTAATGTGTGCATCACAACACAAACTACTTTGTTTTTTTTTCTCTTTTTCTTTTCTGTCTCTCTTCCACACACACCCTGTACTTGTTTTTTTAGAATGGAAATATTGTCCATATAGTGGATGAATAATCTGAGCATAGCTGAATACTGCCATAATATCTGGTAAAATATCATTGTGTTTTATGTATTTGTATATTATTATTTATATTTATTTGTGTATCTTCACCTCCTGTGGCAGCTAATACAAAGTTCTCTATTGCAGTCACAGTGCTAGTGCCTCGCTAATTAATTTAAGAATACCTTCAGTCATTAGTCCGGCTAAGTGAAGTTTATTTGTATAGCGCTTTTGAAAATACATACGGTCTCAGTGCAGCTTGCCAAAAAAACATGACTTAATCCTCCAAAGTTGCAAGGCAAAGATGAATGGTGCAAGGAAAGCAACTCTGTGAGTTGTTTTGGTAAAGAGCAGAATCTTTGGGAGGAACCAGACCAGACCCCATCCTCCGTCCTTGTCATGACTATTTATTTACACGTGCTAAATATCTAGTTACATCATGCTGTAGTATTAATCATGTGTACACTGAATACATTTTTAATATGAGTATCTTCAGTAATCAACTTAAAATCCACTTCTCTTCTATATAAAACTATATACACATCGATAATAATGCATATACTCATTATAACAAATATATCCTTATTGTCTGATAGTTTTGATGTTCTAGGTACTGTATATTATTACCATAGAGTAGACCATAGGCTTTAAAAGTTGATGTGAAGTGATTAAATTTGGGCTGATCTGATCAGTTTTTAGTAGATATGTAGAATTTTTAGTACATATGTAGAATTTGTAAATTGTAATATATCAAACCAGATTGTAGCACAACTGTAATGTTAAACTATTTAAACATAGGCCTATATCTAATTGTCATTTAAATAACTTATCATATTCACATAATTAATTTATTCTCCCTTCGGAGACTTAATTACAAACTGATTACTGGATGCCTTATATTAACAGATTATAAAATGAATTAACAGAATATGAAAACAGTGACCAGTATGAAAATATCTCTAAAGTGCATTACATGTTGCAGCATGGGATGTGTAGAGAAAGTGAGTATTATGAATAAAAATGCTATAAATCTACTTTGCGCTTTGTATTTTTTTTCCTTCAATAATTTCATCGCGCTATATTAATGAGTTACCCTTCACCACCTACTTGCATTAAAAACAATAACCTGCAAAAAGTGTGTCAACGAATTTTTTGAGTGAATACATTGAAAAGATTAGAATTATTGGGATGATAAAACTCCCCATCACTAGCAATTACAAATACCTGTGACCATTGTAGAGTTGGCGCGAACTGACTACATTTACAAAAAATATTAAAAAAAACATCCGGTGAAAATATTTAGGGCCAACCCATCTATTTCGGTAAGAGAACACAATCGTTCTTGTTTATGACTGAAATGTGTGTAATTTTCTGACATTAGCTTAGTGTCAAAAAATTACACACATTTCAGTCATAAGTACAAATATCTATGTGTAAGTTTTATTTGGTTTGCAGTTTAAATGTGATCGTGCCTACAGCATCTGTACTAGGATGAGAAGAGGCGTTCGGTTCTTTTTGGCATAAATTTTCCATCATACATTTCCCACTCCACCAGGGGTCAGTAAAACAGTAAATTGTAAGAAAGTGTTAGTAATAGTGACTTGCAATACAGTATATCTTTTTTTTTCTTGTGGAAGACCAGGATTTGAATTTTACTTTGTGTGAATGTACAAAGTTACATTGTAAACAATGAAACTACAAATACAGCAGAATGAGACTTTGTTCAACAATAAGATCTGTTTTCTCTTCTTGCACAGCCCCATATAGCTCTATTTAGAAATGAAACTTATTTTGGGCTTTACCGTTCTTTCCCAGTTTGTAGAAGTGTAACTACAGTTTGAGTTTGAAAACCCTTGTGGCGCAAGTTTTTCAACTAATCAAAAAAATTATAAAATATTTTATATCTTGTGTGAGAAAAGAGATTGATTTTGCTGTATTTCATAAACAAACAAAAAAAAGCATTGCTGTATTCATATTTTAGAATTTTATTTTTTCAATTTTAGAGTGTGATTTTTCAGATCATGGCTACAAGTGCACAACAACAATTTGCTGTTTATACAAAAATTGATTGGTGGTCATTTAGGAGTGAAATTAAAGAAAAATTTAGGAGGGAAATTACAGGGAAAAATGCAATTCAGTTCATATAAAAAATGCTGAATGCCTTGTTGATCATAAGGTCGATGAAGCATGGAAATGGAAAACACTGTTATTGGACCTTGTATTTAAAAAATACAGAAAACATTGGTTATTAAAATTAGACAAGCTTATATTTCTCTTTCACAACCTTTCATTTGTGTCATATTAAACACTCCATCTTCCCAGATTAGGGTTAATTAGGATAATTTTTTTATCCAGAATTCCTGTTGATTATGAGAGATAGAACCTGCAGTCTGTTTAGCTTACAGTGGTTTGCATTGAATGATTTAAAAAAAAAAATTCTGGTGGCTACAGTTTTAGGTGAACACTGATCAGTGGTCAGTGATATCAAAACGAAAGCATGTAAAACTAATATCTTAAGAAACAAAATCTTTACAGGTGAAACTGCTTCAAAATCTTGATGTGTGCTCCCACTTTACAAAACGGCGGCTTTTTAAGAGACTTTACTGGCTCAGTTTTCAGGTGATGAAAGTAACGTTTCTTCTGAAAACATGAAATGAAACGGTAGATGTGGAAAATGTATGCTTTTATAAGCAATACCACCTTTTAATCTCAATATGATCAGTCTTCCTTCCTCTTCTGCGATTTTCTACAACAGCGTCTCCAGCAAAGTGCACAGCATTTAAATGTTGCTAGAGTTACAATCAGCACAATAAAAAGCAGGAAGCCAATCACATCTAGACTGTGGTATTGAAGCCAGTTCAGGTCATGAGCAGCAGGTCTCAGGTGGTCTGCCCCTTTGTGTCTCATAACAAACTCTGTCCAGTAGACTGCAAGATCCAGGGGCTGCATGGGACGGTCATTATGTATGGCCGACAGCTTCTCCATTCTTTGCTTATAGCTGCAGAACACAGCAAAAGAAATGCATTGAGGTTATGAAAGAGTGTATACATGTGTATATAAAATATATGTATATATGAGAGCAACAGTGGGAGAAATGTTAAAACTCTCACCTGCTGTCATTAATAACTGTGTTGAGAGCATCGACCAGTGTTTCTGCAGTGATATCATGGATGCTGAGCACCACTCCCACCCCTCGAGTCGCCACGCGGTGCACGTTGTCACCCTGGTCACCAAAGAGCGGAAGCATCACCATGGGCACACCATGACAAATGCCCTCATAGATTCCATGCGTCCCACCATGAGTGATAAAGGCTTTTGCTTTGGGGTGACCTTTAATAAACAACAAGAATTAAAGTCACATTGCTTTTGACCCGGCTACGTGGCTGGCATATACAGCAGGGAAAAAAGGGGTCCAAAGGTATGATTTGAGAGTATTATTTTAATTTATTTAAACCTGGAAATAGTTTTAGTACTGAAAAAAAAATTTTTAAATGAGAAATTAAAATAAAACAAATATTGTGGGTTAATCAAACAAGTTAAAAGAAAAAATTAAAGTGTCTTTGTTTTAGGTATGGGACATTTTTTCTTTGCTTTAATTCAACTTTTTACTCTAAGGTTGTGGAAATCATATAATTTGTAACGAACAAAGTGTATTTAATTAGCTGCAAAATGCAGTATACTCAGACCTTTGGATGCCACTTTATAAAGCTTTGATTTGATTTGCTCAGTAGTATCATGTTTTACATTCCCATTTATTGATCCTTGCAGGCAAAAGGGCCGAGCACACACAAAAAAACATGAGATATTCTTCATCAAAGAAATCAATTGAGACTCGGGAACTTCTCTGATTGGTGGATCTCACTTCAGGGTCCCTATAATAATATACACAAATGCCTTGTCAGACTTGTCATAATTTATTATATTGACCTTCATTTAACACTTATGTGATTCCGTGATTTCAACATTAAATAAAAAGACTACTAATAAAATGTCTGTGTTTAGGCAATTTTCATTATCAGTATAGCTCATATTTAGGCAATCACATTAAGTTTTGACTTAGTATGTTTCTAAGTCAAAACATATGAGCAGGATATTTGATGATTTCCCCTGTGAGGATGGGCACCCACAGTCAGAAACATAAATCGGCACCTTTCTTGAAGATATTTAAATAGAATTTTGCAATATCTATAGATATTCTGATACCTTAGGGCACCATTTTCTGTTAAAATTTTCCAGTATTTATATAGCTTACCAGATTGCTCATTGGTCAAGCATATGCGCCAATACAACCACAGTTAATAGGATTAGCTAACATTCTGAATGTGAATGGGCTCTGCTCTCCAGTCATTGCAATCATACCTGACATGCCAGGCAAAATACCGACTGTACTCAGTTTGTTTAACAAAAGCTGCTTCTGTGCTCTTGGTTTAATGATCCATGTTGTTGCTGGAATCTGTGGTTGGCTGATCCTTAACTTGCTACGCAAGGGATAAGCCAAGTGAATCCCTGGATTTCACAATAATAAATTTACTCCCTCACATACTTCTGGTAAGACAAACAGAAATCCCTCATTCTTTAGCACTGAATCTATCTGAAGTGTTTGCTTAACTACAAATAAATCCTATCCTTTTCACAAGAAATGAAGACAGCCATATATAAAATATATAATTAAATAAATTCTTTACATAGCTCTTCAGTTAGGTTTCTAGATCTCTGCTTTCCTACTGATTAATAAAATCAGAAACCTATTTTTTTGGCTGCATGAAGAATTTTAACATTACATATACAAAGCATTAAATTAGCCAATTAAATGTTGTATGGCATGAGAAAGGTTCTTTAAAGGGATAGTTCACCCAAAAATGAAAATTAGCCCATGATTTACTCAAGGTGTATATGACTTTCAGATGAATACAATCTGAGTTATATTAAAAAATGCCCTGGCTTCTCCAAGTTTTATAATGGCAGCAAATGGGTGTTGATTTTCAGTAGTCCAATAGAAGTTCGATAAAGTGCATCCATCCATCATAAAAAGTGCTCCATACAGTACCTCCTGTATGGAGCACCTCCTGAAGTGAAACAATGCGTTTGTGTTAGAAAAATATCCAAATTTAAAACTTTATCAACCGCTAGAGAGTGGCGTCCAGCAGATGATGTAGGACGTAGGCATAGCATAAGCTTCGGTGAGAAGTAATAAACGCGGAAACAGAGGAGAGAGCAAAACAAAACACCAGTCATGAATTAGAAGTACAAAACAAGGATTTGTAAAGAAAAATTTCGGAGGATTTCAATATAAGCCAAGAGGAGACTGTTTTTCCTTTGCACTTTTTATGATGGATGGATCGGATGCATTTTATTGGACTTCTATTGGACTACTGAATATCAACACCCATTCACTGCCATTATAAAGCTTGGAAGAACCAGGACATTTTTAAATATAACTGATTGTATTCATCTGAAAGAAGAAAGTCATATACACCTAAGATGGCTTGAGGGTGAGTAAATCATGGGGTCATTTTCAATTTTGGGTAAACTATCCCTTTAAGCTACTCATTGCATAGCTTAAAAAAAAAAAAAAAGAACTAACACCCGGGTGGGTGATACATGTTGTAATAGCATTTTAAAAAACAGACCAGCAAGCAAACTCACCGAGCAAGTCATTCTGTGGAAGCCACTTCATCCGCTTGACATTTTCAGGGACATCATCAGGAATCTCACCTGTATACCGCCAGAGAACCTAGAAAAAGTGACAGTTCAGACAGTTCCCTTTCATGGGAACTTCGAACTGCGTCCTCTAGGGGTCGCTATGGGGAAAGCCTCGTCGTGACACGTGTCGGAAGCATACATTGAAAAAACACCAACTCGTTGGCCGGCGACAGCCATGACGTCACTACCGGTGCGACTATAGTATAAATAGGCGCCGGGAGCACACATCATTCTCTTCTTCGTCTTCATTGACTGTTCTGTTTGAAGCGTGCATTTCCAAGGAAAAAGTAAGAGCTATCTCTATTTATTATGGCGAGCACTAGCAGAGCATTTAGAAGGTGTGTGCATCCGTGTCATCGCTATTTGACACCAGATGACACACACAATCTATGTGTTGTTTGTTTGGGCGAAGAGCACGCACGCGATGTCCTCGAGGGGGCAATCTGCGTGCATTGCGAGTTTTTTCCAATGAAAAAGCTCCGTTCTCGTTTGTCTCTCTTTTCATTTTTCAATGTATGCTTCAGACACGGGTCACGACGAGGCGTTCCCCATAGCGACCCCTAGAGGACGCAGTGTCTCGTTCCCTACTCAGGGAACCATGGTTACATAAGTAACCTGAGACGTTTTTATTCAAAACAAACCACAGCCCAATTAGCCTATTGGCAGTCCTCCTGAAGCTATCTTATGAAGACAAGTTATAAAATGGAACCAGGTTACCAGTTTAGACCATTACTTTAGAAGTACCCTTTTTGTGGAATAATTTCTATTCAAGTAGACACTTCTATATGTGAAATCCTACATTTATTTTTGTTGAGGCTACATATTAGTAGAGGCTTATGGAATACTAAAAAAAATTACTACATGATTCATGGCAATGTAAGAACTTTAAAAAGAGACTCCGTCTCAGTCTAACAGAAATACTATCCACTCTAGTAATGAGCATTCTGTGAAGTGCCAAACCCCCTTTTCAGCACACACAATAACTTTAATGGGAACAAGATGTTCCTGGACTTCCTCCCCAGCTATAGCTAAAGCTCTGCGTGCAGCCTCCACTTAGTTTTACACATTAACGTGCTGAGAAAACAAGTGGGTAATGTGGACTCGTGAACCCTACAATCCTTGACTGAGAGACTGAACATCTGGGATGCTGAACAAAATGGTTTCAGGTCACGCAGCACAATGTTTGCACAGAAAATATAGCTCTAAGCCTTGGGTTACTAAATGTGTGTAGTTCAAAGGATTATTTTACACCTTGTTTGACAACTTAAATTGCACCAGAATAACTTGATTTCTGCCAGTATGTAGTTTCTAAAATGTATGGCATTCCAACTTAAATGATCTCTTACCCAGGGATTACTACAATAAAAAAAGGAAAATTAGAGCAATAAAAAAAGGAAAATTAGAGCAAATGATATCCATTCCCTTACTAAAATAATGATGGATGCCTATAATCATACACTATCCAGAATAATTTCTTCCCTATATGAGGTGTTAATGTGTTGCAGCCCCTCCTCCACACTATATATAAAATTGAAATGGGATAAAGAATTAAAGACTGAAATACCAGAAACGGACTGGTACGATATGTGGATAATACACCAGACTACCACTAGCTCACAAATATGGAGGGAGTTTTCCTGAAGTGCCTTATTCGCTTCTTTGTAACACCTAAGATCAAAAGCAAACAAGTCTCCAGACAACAGGTTTGCTGGAGACAGTGTGGACAGTTAGAAGCAGATCACGCACATATCTTTTGGATTTGTGAGAAAATCCAATATTTTGGGATGATGTGCAGGTAGTTATGTCTGAAGTGCTTGGATATAGAATACCCAGAATCTCTTAATTTTTGCTTATGGGAAATATTAAAAGCATAGTATCTAAAAGCGACCAACATTTATATAAGATTGTTCTTGTGGCATGTAAAAAGACAATAACTAGGAATTGGTTTAAAGACAGCACTTTGAATTGTAAACAGTGGTTTGAGATTATTGAATAAATCCTGGTGATGGAAGAACTTACGTATACTTTAAAGATGAAAAAAAGTGCTTTCAGAATGGACTGGGAAAAGTGGTTGATATATAAAGAATATAAAGACATCCTCAGCTAAGTAAACTGTAAATGTTATAGAAATGGTAACCTCATCTGTTTGGCTTTGTTGTTATGTTTTGTGTGTGGGATTTTTTTTTTCTCCCTTTCTCTCCTTAATTGGGGAGTTGGTTCATATACATATGTATGCATATATATATATATATATATATATATATATATATGAGATGTTTGTATGTATAGGACTATAGCTGTATATGCTGTGTAGCATAAATCTGATATGTATATGTTTAATGTCTCTTCTTATTTTTTTGTCAATATTCCTTAATTTTTTATTTGCATTGTTAATCTTGTATATTAAACTAAATTAATTATTTCTTACCCTCTGTGGAATCATACTGAAAGCCTTGAAGAAGATGGCAGCTTTCTCTTTTGGCATGGAGGAGACCAGAGAACCCAGACTGAACACCACAATACCATGCTCTCCGGAGCCCTTGACAAATTCCTCCACCTCCTGCAAAAGACAGACAACAAGCCAAAAAATAATAAGCCAAAATTAAATAATGACCTTGTTACATGTATAACTCAACACTGTAAACTAGTTAGGGGTGTAACGGTACACCTATTTGTACCGAAAATTTCCGGTAGGCGTCTTTGAGTTCGGTACGCATGTGTTGTTTTAACCACTGCACGAATGGAACTTAATTGGAAACTTCTTATACCTTTTTTTATATATATTGTTCATTTTGATAAGAAACAAAGTCTAAACTTGTCTTTTTTTTTCCAGGAAATTCAAACAAAAAATGCCATTTTGACGCTCTTTGATGTGGTGTGACAGATCGCTGTATAAACGCCTAAGTTCAAACGGCAGCATTTCCTCTTTACTACTAGTTTTAACGCGAAATAAACATGAATGAATATCTCATGTCTCATGTAGTGTGTTCGCTCAATCAGTGTTTCAACCGCGGAAAGATATCAATAATACAGCTTGTAAACAAAATGTGCGTAGCATTTCATTTACCTCAGGCATGTCATCAGTGTCCACAGCTGTTAGTTCGCTAGAGAACTTAAGTTTAGAGAAGAGCATTTCCAGAGATATTATACTCATTATATTTGACTTTACCTGTTAGTTATATCTTAATTATTTAATGCATGTTTAAATAAATCTGTTATAAAACAAGTTATGACAGCCACTGTGTAAATGAATATAGGCTATTTCAACAACAAAGATACATTTTATAATTTAGAAGTTCATTTAAAAACTGCATTATGTGCAATTTACAGATTTGCATTTTTTAAAGTTGAGTGCTCATTATTATATTTAAAAATAAATAGTAATTGAATTTAAGTTTGGGCTCTGTTGTTAACTCTAATCTTTTGTAAAAGGGCTTCCTTTTGGAGCATAAGCTGAGGTAGGTTTTTATCTCTAAGAAAATGTTAATTATAACTGAATTTATTTAAAGAAAGAGCCATTTGTTTAGTAAACCACTGTTTAATAAAAAACAAACTGAGGTACATAGCAAACCGTCATGTTTGTGTACCATTATACTCCTATAAACTAGATATGTAGCACAGAAAAAGCAGACATGTTTGCATTATGTACAGTACTCGCACAGCTTCATCAGCAAGGCTCATGTTATCCCTTAATCACCACCAAACCTTTTCATCTCACCGGTGTCTTTCCTATATGATATTTCAGAACCTATGCTTTGCACACATCACACAATTACATAGTGTCTGGGGTTTTCGTAGCTCAGGACTCATTATTTTGCCTGTAAAAAGCACCCCTGCCTCAAATATACAAAGAAAAAAAAAACTGGTCCTCACGGAAGGAAAGGTGGCTGACAAGGAAAATAACACAGAGGGAAAGAAATGGAGGTTGCGTGCCAAAGAATACAGTGAACACGCTGCGTTGCCTCAGGTTACCAGTGCCCTAGAGAAAGGAGTCATATTACCATGGGTTATGTTTGTATGAGGGTAAATGTAATGCATGTTAAGACAAAGCACCAATGTCAAAGCTCAAAAATGGAACCCATATTTCCAGAACCGACAATGACCCCAACCTAACTTTAAAAAAAACAGCTACAGATGTAACATTTCCTTCTGAGGAAAATACATCCTAGGACTAGTAGTCACTCACTACTGAAAATGTTCAAGAACTTCGATTAACAATAAAATTTATAAAACATTAAAAACCTCTGGTGACTTACAGCAGAAAGTTCAGCACTCTTCCGACAGTTGATGCCCCCAATGAGGACCATATTTGGCATGAGAGGCCTGGGGTACTCAAATGTAAAATCATATCTAAGCAACCAAATAGCTCCGCGGCCGATGATCTCCTGGTATGTCACATCCGCATCCAGGTATCTTGAAGCAAGTTCATCAAAACTGGCGTACATTATTCGACACAGCACCAGCTCTACACCACTCATGACGAAATTTTGAATGCGCTCTACAAAGGTCATTTTGTCAGTGCTGCCAGACTGAAACCGAGGTACATAAGATGGAGGAGAAGGACACTGTGAAGCCAACATGTCAAGGCCACAAGGAATGCCACGAAGGAAGTAGACTGCGGGGAGACCGAGCGCAGTAGCGATAATAGGTCCACAGGGCAGAAAAGGGTCGGTGAGCACCACGTCAAAGTTCTCCTCTTTCAGCTTCTGCATCAAAGGTTCGTTGTAAAGCAGCGACTCACATCCTTCCACCTGCGTTCCTGTGAAGTTCAGCAGACGCCCCACTTGGATGACGATGTCCATCAGTGCAGGGCTACGCTTGAACACCCCCTCCTGAAACCCTTTCAAGCTGGTGGACAGCTCCTCCTTGGAGATCTTCACCGGGAAGGTCTCGGTGCGGAAGAGCTCAGAACTCTGGATCAAGATGTTGGTCTCGGGCACCAGGACCAGGATGTTATGGCCTCTCTGGGCCAGTCCTGTCGCCAACACCTTCATGCTGAGCCAGTGGCTGCCTTCAACAGGCATGACCAGCACCCGGCCACCCTGCGCTGGCCTCAGCCAGGCACTCAGCCAGAGCAGCAGCAACCCTGAACCCAGCCCCCACAGCCAGCCTTCCTTCAGCATAACTGGGTCTGCCTAAGACCAGACACAAATACTGAAAGAAAAGGAGAGGAGAAAACTCCTCCTCCAGGAAAAGGGGCTGTTTACACTCTCCCATGTGTGACTGAGAAACAAGAGAGCGAAAGGAAGAACAAGAGAGCACGACAGTTGTCCGTGTTTTGGTTTGCAGATCACGAGAAAAACAGTTCCTGAAAGTCAAATAAGTGCTCTGCAGGGCCAGCACAATGTTACACAACACTACATATTAAGTAAAATTTTTAACAAGAAAAACTTTACTCATTACAGTCATAAATTACACGTTAAGTAGTGTTTTACAAATCTGTGAGACTGAGATCTTTAAACACTTAAATACAAAATTAAAAGCAGAAGCCCTAGGTTGTACATATCCAAATACACCACAGTTTCTTGGCAGAGATAACCATGGATTTAGTTTTTAGCATCTGACACTGATTCTAAGTAAAGAACGAGCACTCAAAGATTAATTTACAACCAGTTGAATGAACTCAAACGCATAAGAAGGAAGAATTGTAACTGTTGTCAGGTCTGCAAAAGGCAACTCCCACCAGCACCTTCCCCCACTCCTCAAGCCCAGCTTGCCTGAGAAGCTCGCCACTCCTTTCCTTCCCATCTCCCCAGTTCAAGCGATAACCCGACCAACAATACTTCCACACATGCTTTCTAAATTGCATTTCACAACATTGATACCCACATAGCATACTTTGCCAATAAAGGGAAATTACCTGTATATGTGTTGTGATAAAAACAATAAGAGTGAGATTTACTGTGGTATAGTTCTCTCACGGTCTCTTATTTCTTACTGTTAATCCTTTGGCTGATTTTATTTAAACTACTGATAATTAGGTTTTCTTCAAACAGCTGTAGCAACAAAGTTCTTAAATAAATAAATCCTCAAATACTTCCAGTACTAATTATTATTATTACTACTACATTAGGGGATTCCTGAGTTGGGGGATCCACCACCACTTTTCTATTAGTCAGTTGCAGTTCCACTTGTTGGTACTTGCTTTCTATAAAACTTTGCAGGAATGAAACTGTCCTTTTTTGACCTTGTCCAAGTACTGGTGTAATATTTTAAACACTTAATATCTGCACAAGTACTGGTGTAATATTTTAAACACTTAATATCTGCACAAATGACACAAACAACAATTTAAAAAGTGAAAAATTTTAAATCCAAAAAGAGTGCCAAACTTCAACAATGTATCCAGTAAGATCCACTGACCCAGTCATGGCCACATGCAAACTCTTATAATATGTCTCCATTGTAATGATCCCCCACCCAGCTATGCTGTGGGAATACTACACTAACAACTGAACTGCTGTTTATCTCTTTAGGACTGGGACTGCAAATAAGAGAGAACAGTGACACCTGTCGTAATTTTATGAAACAAAAACATTCTCAAATAAAGAAAATATATACAGGTGCATCTCAATAAATTAGAATGTCGTGGAAAAGTTCATTTATTTCAGTAATGGAAAAATGGTAACCACCAGAATACCACTTGGTGTGCTGTGTTGTACTACAAAGAATAATTAACAAACAAAACAAACTGAGTATTAGTGAAGGGGTCAAACAAAGAAAAGCCTGTTTTACCAAAAGAGCACCTAATAATCATGCAGCTCTCGTCTACTGCATGTATGTGCATATATGCATTTGTCCCTGGAACACCAGAGAATAAATATAGTAATACAGTATATAACTGCTGCAAATCATTACATAGTCCTAACTTTACTTATCAGCTATTGTGGGTGAAGGGCAATCTTGATTTAACCCATAGCCTACTATTAAAATATGCTTTGTCACTGAAATATTGTTTACAACACAGACATGGTCTACTTTGCTATCTTGGTTGCTGTACCCGTTCAAACATTGTTGTGTGTTCAGCTATGGTAAGTTTAAAATGAACATAGTTTAAAGTTAACATTTAGACCTTAAATTTTCATTGACCTGTCTGTGTGACAAAAAAGGACATACGTATTTTATGCCTTTTGCAATTGAGTCACTCTCCTTCTCTGCTTTTAACACTTTTTTTGTGACTATTCTCAAATATGAACAGCAATTAGAAAGAGGAAAAAAGGTAAGCACTTTAACTAAGATGAAGATGAAGACCCTGACAATGAATTACTCGGGTGGTCCAAAATCCCACTCGTATTTTGCCTTCTTTTAACTGCCTGCAATCCTGGGTCCTTTGTCACCCTTTCCAGCCTGGATGTATCAGCAAAGTGTCTTTTGCATTAGTTTTACATAGTTTAATCACACAATGTGACTGAAATTTTGTGAATATTCTACATTCTAACACACTTATGACATTGACCAATTTGTTATATGATTTAGAATTTCACTAGTCTCACCTTTTTCAGTGGGTTCCTAATTTCACAGTTAATTCCTCCTATGAGCTGCATGTTGGGCATCAGGGGTTTAGGGAACAATTTAACGTCACAAAGGGCTTTAGATAACACTGACCAAATTTGGTGTTGATCTATGTAAATCTCTAGGAGGAATTTGTTTAAATACAACGCCTGAAAATGGCAAAAACAGCACAAAACTTGCAGAGAAAATTCAAAATAACAGACTTCCTGTTGGGTTTCGGACTTCATACCAGGGGGACTTTTTTGTAGGTATTGATGTGTTGCATGTGTCTACCCAATTTTGTACATATATGTGAAACAGCTTGAAATTTGAAATTCGTTGAAATTTTAAAGGTGGCTCTATCGAGCCATTTTGTCACACCCACATCTGAAACCCATATCAGATGTAAATTTTCACCACTTCTGGCATGTGTGCAAAGTTTCGAGATTTCGAGCATGTTTAGGCCCTCAGAAATGCGATTCATTTTGGAGAAGAAGAAGAAGAAGAATCTGAGCAATTCCAATAGGGTCCTCGCACCACCGGTGCTCGGGCCCCAACTATGGTTAGTGTAGCAAGATCTTGGTTAATTTGTGGTTACCATGGTTTAACTATAATAACAATGGTTTTTTGGTTTTATTTGTAGCAAAACCATGGTTAATTTTCGTAAGGGTATCACTAACATTAACACTAAATCCTAAAATCAGACTGGCTGTCAGGAATGTTGTTTCTAGGATTAACAAGAATGTTGCTACAAAATTAGGTTCACCCGAAATGACCCTGAAGGGGTCAGAAGATTTGACGCAAAATCCTGCAGTTTGACTTCTCCTACGACAAACATAAAATTGTCTTCGGTTTTCAAGACAAGCCATGATCAGTATTAATGCTAGATTTCTTCTAATATCCATAAACCCCGGTGCTCCTGGCCACCACTCACGGAATTCCTATGAGATGTTGGCTTTGCTATGATAAACACCGGTTGCGTCGCTGCTTTGATGTGGGTGTGTGCTGTTTACACTGCTTACATCTTCTTAAACACGCCGGTATTGCTGCCGTTCATAGACTTTTAGCCAACATTTCAGCCCTGCGTGCAATGCAGCTCGCAGTCACTGAACGTGTATGGGTTGATCATGTAAACAAGTTTTCAAGTGCACACCAATTTTTAACACGTCTTGATGTGTACAGTCTGACATTAATGACAACTGAGATCCCACAGTGTGACATGATCATCATGTTCGTACAGTCTGACAACCAACAATTGTAAAGGACTATTATAAATCATGCAGTGTGCACCTAGATTTAGTTTAATCACACAATATGAGTCCTGAGAGTCCACTTTGAACAACTTTGCATTCTAAAACATTTATCATGGCCTGAAAAGTTGACCTGTTCATCACCTCATCAATCTGTTTTGAGTCACGTAGCATATACAGATTTATTGTGGATATCTAGTAAACTTGATACTCCGTGCCTTGAGTATCATGTGGTGAGTATAAAGATGATGCTAACCTTATTCAGTGGGTTCCTAATTTCACAGTTAATTCCTCCTATGAGCTGCATGTTGGGCATCAGGGGTTTAGGTAACTCCAGACTGAAATCATAGCGCATCAACCAGATGGCTCCAGTGCTCAGGATCTCAGTCAGGCTCACATCTCTCTGAAGGAAGTTGAACGTAATATCCTTAAATGGCCAAAATGTAACCTTGCATATCAGTGGTTCCAGCATGCTGACAAAAACATTCACCACACGCTCACCAAAAGTCATGCGGTCTGAGTTTCGTGTATAGAACCGTGGTACATATGAAGGAGGGTCAGGACAGGCTGTGGCCGCAGCATCAAGGCCACACGGCATTCCCCTTAACATGTACACCGCAGGTACGGATAGATTATACGCCAGTATGGCTCCAACTGGTAGGGCAGGATCAGTTAAAACAGCATCAAAGTTTTTCTCTCTCAGAAAATCTATAAGCTCCTGGTTACTGAACATACTTTCAGTTGTAGAGGTCACACAGTTAATAATCTTTCTCAAATGGGCCACCATTGAAGTCACACTCTTCAGTAGGGATTGCTCTGGCTCACGAATAAGTTCCACAATCATTTGGTCGATTAAATCCTGCCCATATGTGCCGGGAAACGTCTTTGTGATGTAATGTTTGCCTGGACCCAAGCGCATGCTGATCTCTGGAATCACCACAATCACGGTGTGTCCTCTACGTCCCATCTCTTCTGCCACAGCCTTCACCCCTGTCCAGTGACTTCCATCCATGGGCACCACTAACAGCTTCCCAGTCCAACTGCTCCTACCCTGCTCCAGAGCTGCAGAACAGACTATACTGATCACTAGACATAAAATTACTCCTAAGTGCATCTTTGTAGCAAAACCAGACTTCAAAAAAATCTGGCGGTGTGAACCTTTACCTCTGTATGTCTGTCTGTCCTACTATGTGCAAATATATCAACTGGATGCTTTTGCAATTTACGATCATATAGAAAGCAAGTAGATTGCTTTCCAGCATTTTAGTGGCTAGACACACGATGTGGGAGGGACTTTTTTAAATTCTAAAACACATTTACGTGTTGCAGCAAAATCCATTAAAAATCAAGCACAAGAAAAAATAACACCTTGTACAACAAAA